TGCATAACTCGAGACCTTAAATGGGGAACCCCTGTACCCTTGGAAGGTTTTGAGGACAAGGTAAAAACCCTTTAACCTTTATTTATATCTCAAATTATTTAGCCTTAGGGTTGAGACTCTGGGCTAGCAGAGGAGACTGTTGGTTATGTCTCGTTTCAGTCCGAGACTTTGGGTTGGTCCCTACCATGTTTCCCTCCTCCAGGTATTCTATGTCTGGTTTGATGCCACTATTGGTTACCTGTCCATCACAGCCAACTATACAGACCAGTGGGAGAGATGGTGGAAGAACCCAGAGCAAGTGAGCAGTTGGTTAGCCTGTCTGTGGGAAGGGTGTGCATGAGGGGGTTGTGGTGTTAGAGTTGGGAGTCTGGTATTTCTTTGGTCTTTGAAGGTTGTTTCTGGAAATCTCTCTCCTGGCTATATTCTCCTAGGTGGACCTATATCAGTTTATGGCCAAAGACAATGTTCCCTTCCATGGCCTAGTCTTTCCTTGTTCAGCCCTAGGAACTGAGGACAACTATACCTTGGTTAGCCACCTCATTGCTACAGGTAGGCACCCTGGAAGACTGCAGATGGGTGTTTCTAGGAAATGAGGGTTGAGGCAGTACTTGGATAAAGATTCTGGAGAAGTGCTAGGTCTTGAGTTAGGAGTTGAGATGAAATAGGAAATAATTAAAACATGAGAAAGGAAACAAGAACCTGAAGAAAGCAAAAGTCTACAGCTAAAACTTTATAGTAAGCAAAGAAAACAAAAGGCCAGAATGGATAGAAAGGGACTCCCAAGTTCTGTGCAGGCCAGCTACTCAAGGAGAAATGTTTCTGGACAGCCATAGTTGGGGTTGAGGGAGAGGAAAGAAGCAACAGTGGGTCAGAGAGGGGAAGGATGTGATTTGAGCAGATGGTTCTCATTCTCCTTCTCTGTCCAGAGTACCTGAACTATGAGGATGGGAAATTCTCGAAGAGCCGAGGTGTGGGAGTGTTTGGGGATATGGCCCAGGACACAGGAATCCCTGCTGACATCTGGCGCTTCTATCTGCTATACATTCGGCCTGAGGGCCAGGACAGTGCCTTCTCTTGGGCAGACATGCTACTGAAGAATAATTCCGAGCTGCTTAACAACCTGGGCAACTTCATCAACAGGTGGGACTTGGTAAAGGGTCAGAGTCAACAGATGAGCTGGGATGGGGCTTATTCTCCCTCAGGACATGGGAATGTGGAGAGAACTAGTAAATGGGCGGGAGGCTCTGAGGGATGGGAAGGACAATATGGAAAGTTGATTTCTGTCCCTTGGGATCTGCTCCTAGCACGTAGTAGGCTGTGTATGCTTGATTGTACAGTTAGCTGTAGAGATGTGATTTTTTTAAAGTTGGTCACAAAGTGAATTTTTGCAAATTGTTTTCTTATTAATGTGCTTCATATAATTAAAAATGTATTTTCTCCTAGCAAAACAATTCATCTGCAGATAACTGAAAAGTTTGGCTGAAGAAAGAGGTTATTTTGGTGTAGGGGTAGGAAGCCTCTGTTGTATTCTTTAGGGTTTTTGTTACTTTAGGTTCACATTCTATCACTGGTCCTTATCTCAGCTCTTCTGCAATCTAAAGAAATATCCTCCGTCATTTAGGATTCTTCAGTTCTACTGGCCGAGTCCTCGGCCTTTAGTGCAGTCCTGTTACCTACCCTTTCAGCTTTCATCATTAAACGCATTTAACAGTCCTTATTAGAGTATTTGTTTTCTAGCAAGCAATTAACACATAATTTCAACTTGGTCATTTTGAGTATGAACATACAGTGCTTAACTTTATCAGGTTTCTTTATGTACAGACTCAGATTCTTTTTTTTTTTTTTTTGAGACAGAGTCTCACTTTGTTGCCCAGGCTAGAGTGAGTGCCGTGGCATCAGCCTAGCTCACAGCAACCTCAAACTCCTGGGCTTAAGCGATTCTGCTGCCTCAGCCTCCCAAGTAGCTGGGACTACAGGCATGCACCATCATGCCCGGCTAATTTTTTCTATATATATTAGTTGGCCAATTAATTTCTTTCTATTTATAGTAGAGACGGGGTCTCACTCTTGCTCATGCTTGTTTCGAACTCCTGACCTTGAGCAATCCGCCCACCTCCGCCTCCCAGAGAGCTAGGATTACAGGCGTGAGCCACCATGCCCGGCCTCAGACTCAGATTCTTAAAGGAGAAATAGAATAAAGAATTAAGGACTGCTGTGACATAGGCCGCTGGCCAGATGTGAAAGGGAAAAGCTGGGGCCTTGCTCTGGCTGTGGGGATTATGGCCGGCAGGGGTCCCCAGAAGGAGACAGCTAAGCTGCGATGCTGTGTCTCAGGCGGGAAACAGTTCACCTCACTGTTGGAACTGTGGCAGCCCAGCGGTCCTGGGCAAGGGGACTGATTCTTCTGTCTGCAGTGCCAGGCACTGCAGCCACCTGACCCCACTCGAGATTACTTCAGCCTCATGGATTGCTAAACAGAAAGAATTTACTGACAATGTGAGCAGAGCTTTTGAACAAGATGACTTTGAAGGAGCCAAGGAAATTTTAACAAAGATGAGATATTTTTCAAATGTAGAAGATCAAGTTTAAGTAGATTCCCCTCTAATTGTTCCTAATTTAAAGTTTTGAAAAATAAAGTTTTTATATATTTCTAAAAAAAAAAAAAAATTAAGGCCAGGTGCATAGCCTATGCCTGTGATCCCAGCACTTTGGGAGGCAGAGGCAGGAGGATTGTTTAAGGGCAAGAGTTCGAGACTAACCTGACCAACATAGTGAGACCCCATCTCTACCAAAAGAATTTAAAAATTTGCTGGGCCTTGTGGTGCACACCTGTATTCATAGCTCCTCAGGAGGCTGAGGCAGGAGAAAATTGCTTAAGCCCGAGTTTGAGGTTGCAGTGAGGTATAATGATGCCACTATACTCTAGCCCAGGCAGCAGAGCAAGACTCTGTCTCAAAAAAAAAAAAGAATTTGTAAAGCTTTGCCTTCTAGCTTGAGGAAGCCAGGAGCTATGAATTACAGGCAGGAATCCTAAGAGAATGTACAGTTGTGGGAATTAAGTCAATAAGGAGACTGATTTACTGAAGTCAGGTGTTATCAGAAAAAAACCTTTTTCTTTCTCCTCTTCTTTCCTATCCCCAAGAGCTGGGATGTTTGTGTCTAAATTTTTTGGGGGCTACGTGCCCGAGATGGTGCTTACTCCTGATGATCAGCGCTTACTGGCCCATGTCACCCTGGAGCTCCGGCACTATCACCAGCTGCTTGAGAAGGTTCGGTAAGTAACCTGCACATCTTGTTTCATCTGCTGGCATTTGAGAGCTCCGTACTGATCCTTGTAGGACCTTATACCTTGGCCTGCCTCATCCTTTCCCAGAATCCGTGATGCCTTACGTAGTATCCTCACCATATCTCGACATGGCAACCAATACATTCAGGTGAATGAGCCCTGGAAGCGGATTAAAGGCAATGAGGCTGATAGGTAGGTAAAGGGCTAGGGTTGGCTATAGGAATAAGGTGGTCGGCTGTGTCTTCCTGGAGGTCTTGACTAATAACTCTTCCTCCCCAGGCAGCGGGCAGGCACAGTGACAGGCCTGGCAGTGAATATAGCGGCTTTGCTGTCCGTTATGCTCCAGCCTTACATGCCCACAGTTAGCACCACTATCCAGGACCAGCTGCAGCTCCCACGGCCAGCCTGCAGTATCCTGCTCACAAACTTCCTGTGTACCTTACCAGCAGGACACCAGATTGGCACAGTAGGTCCCTGAGAGTTGGTAGAGCCAGCCTCTCTGAAAATTCATACTTTTTCCATGTAGCCTTTAGAGTGGGGTTAGACCAGACCTAACATCTCACTAGCTTGACTCTTAAATTTCTTATATGAAGTCCTTGGTCTTAGTTCACAAATCCAGTGTATCTGTATATCCTCATTGTTCTTCATGCCGAAAGCCAGTGCCCAGCACATAAAACTAACTTTTGTACAGATGTTTGAAGAAACACCATGATCAACTTGGTCTCCATGTTGGCGACAGTGGGCAGGGAGAATACAGGGTAGCCATTTCCTCTTTGCCACAAGGTGATAAAAGTATATTCCTGAACTTTTGGATCATTAGTTTAAATATTCTTTACCCCTATTCCTTCTTTGGGCTTTTGTAGGGAATACTACCACTTTTTCTGAATTCTTTCCTGAAATCAGGTATTAGTCTAGTGTTATGCTCCAATTTTTTCTACAACACATTTAGGATTCCTAAATGTCAGAGATTGGGGTTGGAGAGGTCCTCTGTATACACTATATAATCAGTGAATGATTCTGGAATTGTTTTTTAACAGGTCAGTCCCTTGTTCCAAAAATTGGAAAATGACCAGATTGAAAGTTTGAAGCAGCGCTTTGGAGGGGGCCAGGTGAGACAGCTAAAGACCGTGCTCTCATCTCACTCAGCAACAGCCACAGTGTCACCTCCTTAGTTACCTAAGGAGTCTTCATTTATCACTCTTTCTGTCTTTGACTCTGCTGCTTCCTCACTTATAGTTTTTCTTTCCTATCTTAGCTAGAAGAGTCTTTGGAGTTAAAGGTAATCACTTCCCCCCTGAGATGTTATGGAAAACTGGAGGTCAGGGGATATTTATGGTCACTGGTGATAATTCTGTTGTTGTTCTTCAGGCAAAAGTGTCCCCCAAGCCAGAAGTTGTAGAAACTGTTACAACAGCTGGGCCACAGCAGATACAAGTGTTGATGGATGAAGTGACAAAACAAGTATGAGGCCTAAGACCTGTGGGAGACTGGGAAAGCTGAATCCTAAGTAGGTCCTTTTTTGGTCTCAGTGTTACTCTCTCCACCCCTCCTTCCCTTAGGGCAACACTGTCCGGGAACTGAAAGCACAAAAGGCAGACAAGAACCAGATTGCTGCAGAAGTGGCTAAACTCTTGGAGCTAAAGAAACAGTTGGCTTTAGCTGAGGGGAAACCCCTCGAAACCTCTAAAGGCAAGAAGAAAAAGTGAAAGAGAACTTGGCTCATAGAAAGTCCCTTTAATGGATAAGGACAATAATGAATAAATGTACACTCTATATACAAGCAGAGACCCTTTTCTTTTGTCTATCCCAAGCCTTACCCCTGAATATGGGGGGTTGAGGGTCACATCATTGGCACTGGTGAGAAGGTGGTCAGTAGCCACTTCTGGGAAAGGTAAGTAGCATGGCCCGAGTCGGGGAGTGACGGTCCCAATTGTTCATGGTTGGTGCAGATTAACCATTCGGTCAATTAGAGCTCGGCGAGTTGCCTCTACTTCCTTGGTCAGGCGCTCGATTTCCTGCTTGAGCCGTTCATTTTCTTCGGCTAACTGTGCCACTTTCCTTTCATTCTCCTGTTCTCTCTCCTTCATGCGTTGCTTCCCAGCCTGGGCTGGGGAATGGCCACTCTGTTTCCGTTTCCTGGTTCTTCTTTGGTCTTCCTCTTCTTCCTCCTGAGCCGGGGAGCTCTGACTGGAATCTGGAGAGCGAGGGCTCTGAGAGGTGCTTGTGACTTCTGCTGGTCCAGGCTCCTCAGTCAGCCAAGCCAGAGAGGCAGGGTCAAGAGTGGTGAAGGTTTTTGATTCTTCCTTCAAGGAAAGAAGGGAGAGTAGGTATTAGTTGAGAAGGGGGGAAAGGTAACATCTCCCCAACTTTAGGCCTAGCATTCTTACCTCTTCATTTCCAGGAGGTGAGACATAGGTACCCCCATTTTCATCTGAAGACAGGACCTCTTGCAGGTCCTCATACCAGGCTTCTAACTCCCAGCTGGACAGTGTCCCAAAGGAGAAAGGCAATGACTCGGCTGCCATCTCTGCAGTTGGATCAGGTCTGGAAAAGTATATACTCAGAATAATGGGGAATAGGTGGAATAAGCTCCACACAGCAGCCTATATTACAGGTTGGCAAACTGGTCTACTGCCTGTCTTTGTGGATAAAGTTTTACTAGAATACAGCCTTATCTATTTATGTATTATTTTTATGTATATTTACATATACATGTTTATGTATATTTATCTATTTATGCTTTTGGGCTATAATGGCAGAGATGAATAGTCGTGACAGAAACTATGTGGCCCTGAACATCTAAAATATTTACTGTCTTGCCCTTTGAAATTTACAACCCCTAGTCCATAATAATATTCCTTCCTTTTTGCCCAGGACTTCAAAAAGCAAAGTGCTTGGATATATATATATTCCTATGGGCTCCTAGTAAAAGTCCTCAGTTCTAGAACGCTATTGTAGTTTCCAGGGGCAATTACCAGGCCATTTGTGCTCCTTTGTCTTGTGTGGGGAGCTTGGGCAAATAGTCCTTTGGGTCAGTCTAACCTTGATGGGACTTAAGATTGGTAAAATAAACCAATTATCTGTTGGGGCTTTCTTTGAGGGCCAGCTTTCAATTAGGAATAGTAATTTGGTCACCTTGTTAGGGGCAGACCAGGAGCATAGACATATCCTGACAGCAAACTCTTGCTCATATTCAACCCCTCCTCTCCCACCTTTTCTAGGTCTTTTCATAATCTCTTAGGACTTGATTTTGGGAAATGGTTAAGTTTACCTGCTTTCAGGTGTGGTGGTGTATGAAGATACACTTCCTTCTGGAACACTGTGGAGAATAAAGATAAATGTTAGCCATTTTTGGAAGGGGGAGAGGCAAGTTCTTTTCCTTTCATCTCTAGCCTCCTAACTGTCTTTCCTTACTTCCAGTCTTGTGGATAGTTAATGGTCCCTGTAGCCATTTCCAAGGACAGAAGAGAGCCTGGCTTCCTTTATTTTTAGTTGCTGACATTTGTAGTCCTGATTACATAATAGCAAAGTCCTGGCCAATTCAGCTTTCTCCAAATTCAAGGCAATCCTCAAATCTGCCACGGTGTGAGAACTAAAATACCGGAAAGGGAACAAATCAAGTGGTATTTTCCTGATTCTATTCCCACACTGACATCCTTTAAATATACATTTCCAGTCTGGACCTCTTCTGGAGCCTCCAACTCTGCTGTCTACTGCCTCCTTGCCATTTCTTTGTCAATGTCTAACAGGCATCTCAGACTATGTCCAAAGACAGACTCCTGATCTTCCCGTTCCAAAGTCCTCCCCATCTCAGTAAACGGCAACTCTAGTTTAAGCAAAAAAACTTTGTTATTATCCTTGATTCCTCTCCTCTCATGCCCCACAATCCAATCCAAAGCACTAGCAAATTTTCTTAACTCCTTAAAAATGCTTAACTCCTTAAAAATGCTCAGGTTGACTTCCAAATGGAAAAAATAAAAATACTCAGAATCTAAACACTTCTCACCAATTCCATTGTTTCCAATCTAGATCAATTTATCATCCTCTGTCCCCTGGATTACTATAGAAGACTCCTGATTGCAGGAGGTCTTCCTGATTCTTTTGCCACTCCTTCATGAGTCTCTTTACAGTAATAGCAGCATGGGCCTTTTAAAACTTAGGTCATTGCTCTGCTCTAAACCCTCCAATGACTTCCTATTTCATGCATATTAAAGGTTAATGTCGTCAAAATGCCTTACAAGGCCATACACCCTTCCCTGCCCCTGATTTTTGATCTGCCACACTCTCCCTCTTGCTCACTCTAATCCAGTCCACTGGTCTGTTCCCTAAAGATACCAGGCATGCTCCCATCTTAGGGTCTCTGCTCTGGCGGTTCCTTCTGGAAAGCTCTTCTTTCCACATAACTGCATGGCCCACTGCCTTGTTTCCTTTGGATCTTTTAGTTAAATGTAACTAACCTCAGTGAGGTAATTCCTGACGACTTGATGTAAAACTGTAACCTCCATCCTGAACATTCTGTATACCTTTCCTTGCTTTAGTTTTCTCCCTGGTACTTATATTTTGTTTTACTGTATGCCTCACAGTGAGATAACTTTTGTTAATTCTTGTTCATGGATGTACCCTAGGCCTCAAACTGCTTGGCACATAGTTACGTGCTCATTAAGTATTTGTTAGAAATGAATGGGTAAATTCCCCTCAATCTCTTCTTACAGGGAAAGGAGAACTAAGCCCAGAGGCAGAGCAGCAGCTGCCTATCCCTAGGGACTGGAGATGCAATATCACCCTGAGTATTTCTCTGCAGGGCTGTTCTCCTTGGGGAAGCCTTTCTTGCCTTCCAGTGTGTGGGACTTGGCTTTCATCAGCAGTGGAGCCCCAGGCCAGAGGACTGCAGAGCCAAACAGGGGGCTGGCCTGATGCAATGGTTACACAGATCAGTGGGGAGACAGGACAGAGGAGAGAGTCAGGAACCAACCCCAAGGGAAAGAAAATACATTGGGGACACCCCATATGGCTTCCCACACTTAAGATCCAGGCTGCTCTCTTATGCGGATGCCCAGAGACCTCTGGGGGGAAAGAGAAAATCCACCTCCCGCTCCTAGTCCATCAGCACCCCTCCTCCCAAAGCCTCGTGTCAGTATCCTTGTGATTCTGTTCTCTGCAGGGCCCAAGAGCCCCAGCTACCGAAGTGGCTATGCTGACCCCCGCCCCCCCCAGGCGCTGCAGCTGAGACTGGACTGGCGGTGGGGCAGGGGGAATGCCACTGGTGCCAAAGCAGTTGAAAAGGCCTGAGACACAGTCGCCCAGTTTTCTCAGAGCTGGGGTGTGTCCTGCTGCCCCGCCTCCCACCACACAGGTCCAAAGAGGTGGCCTGCAGTTGGCTACGGGACAGAATGAACTTCCCCAGGGCAGATGAGGTCCTTTCGCCTAGCAGCATAGAGCAGAGCTCATGCTCCAGGCGGGGGTGGAGTGGTGCTGTAGTCCGAAGGAAGAGGAGTCTGTGAGTACCACCCCTGAATAAAGGATTCTCCCAATCCCTCCCACGGACCATCCCTAACTTCATGGGGGAGGGGGCAGGGCACATCCTAAAGACCGGACGGTCCAAGTTTGAAGGGACAACTGATGTTCGCAAAGACGGGAGGGTAAAGGATAGATGGGGAGTCAGTACTCGCCTCTCTCCTCAGGTTCCGGTTCTGATTTTGGCTTTGTCGCTGCCACCCGGTCATCTTCAACATGATATATTCTATGTCTTAGACTCAAGCCTCTGACCTCAGGATCGCAGAGCTGTAATCTTTTACCATGGCCTTACCCTCCTCTTGGGGGCGGGATCCAGAAGCCTACCAATCATAAAGCGGCACGCCGGCATTGGCCCCGCCTCATCCCTCACATCCGCCACTCAGGAGCCCCGAGGCACCGCCCCCATTGCTCCCTCCCGTTTAGGGGTCGACGTCGTGTCGGACCCGGAAGTGGCTTTGGGTCACGAGGCTTCGCGGAGGAGGTGGGTGAGTCATGCGCGCGCGCGGAGGGGAGTGTAGAGGGGGGAGGGGAGGAAAGGGGGGCGGGGATGATGCAATGTTTGGCAACCAGTGTCTGCGCGCGCACGCGCAGGGGACAAGGAGGGTGGTGGGAGGTGCGGAGGGTGGGGGAGAGTAGAGGGGGCGGGGCGCCAGCTCTGGGCACCCAACGGCCCAAACGGCTACCAACCGTGGCCACCCCTAGACTGCCGTGTGGAGCCTCACTGCAACTTGTCACCCCGAAGAGCTGTTACTTCGCCCACCCAGCATTAGCCCCCGTTTTACCTGCTCCACAAGGGACTCCTATTTCCCTCGGCCCCTCCCAGCTAGTGGACCCATAGGCCTTTTGAACCTCTCTCCTGTGAAAGTTTGCATCCAGCTACCGGGATTGTCGACATCCGAGCCTTCTTAATGGGTCTCCTCTTTTAGCCCCCTAACCACCCTAAAAGGGGCTGAGGTTCTGGAATTCCCTTGGTGGTAATTTCTACTTCTCTCAGAATGGCACTCTTCACTTTTATCTTTTAGTTTCTGATTAAGTCCTAAGCATGCCGGAATTCAACGTTTTTTGCCCAGTGGACCCAATTCTCACTGTTTCCCCATTTATTAATATTTCTCCTTATGGTGCTCTTGTGCCTTTCACTAAGACCAAGAACCCTCCCTTTTGTACCAGATAGCAGGTCCTGTGACTCCCTGCTGTGAGGAAGGGGGTGGGGGGTGGGCGCAGGCATCCTGCCTCCTAGGTGTTTGGGGTCGTGATTTACCGTACAGCCTGGTTGCCTGGGACATGTGCATGCGCTTCAGGGCACGACTGCCCTGGACTGGGTTGTCAGGAGCCCAGATTCTAGCCTGAGCTCCCTGTCACTTGCCCAGGGATGGTACGCGGTACGTTCTTGTTTGTAAAATTTAAGGAGTTGTGAAGGTAAAATGAGAGCTATGAACTTGGAGGCAACTTGAACAAAAGTAAAAAAGCACCACGCAAAATGTATTTTTCTTGTGCCATGAAAACAAGAGGCCATGTGGTGGCCTGTTACATATCCTGTCATGTCCTTATGGGGGTAGCTAGAGTTTAAGAAGAAACTGTCACAAGGCCAGTTGTGACTGGAGTGGTGTGGCAGTGACAGGTCCTTGGCCAGGCTGCTCCGTCGCTCCAATCCATCTCCCCTTCTGCAAATGAGGGTGGTTGTGGGTTGGACCAGATGGCCTCTCCTGGCCTAAAGACAGACCAGGTTGTCAGTGACAGGCAGAGGTCATGTGACTTGACAGGCCGAGGTCGTGTTGTGACATGTTGACCTGGGGAGGCGGGTCAAGTCCCAGCACACTACCCGGGAAGCCTTTGGGGCGGGGCAGGGCAAGTCGCGACTTTCATCTTTTGGGGCTGGCCCCTCCCGGACCTGGCATTCCTAGCTCCCCAACAGATTGTAGCTTTGGAAGGGGCCCCTCCCCGGGGAGGGCTGGGATTGGCCACCAGTGGCCTGGGAAGAGGCTCAGATCCTTCCGCGGAGGGCGGGGGGGCCGCGTGGGGTGTTTGTTCTCTTGGGGATTAATGGGGGGTTGTGGGGGAGGGGTAGGCGCGCTCCCGCATGCGCACTGCGGCCTCTCCAGTTGGCTCGTCGCTGTCCGCTGGGCGGGGGCCCGGCCCCGCCCCTCTCCCGTCCGGGCAGCTGCGGCGGCGGCGGCGGCGGCTGCGGCAGCGGCGGCGGCAGCGACGGCGGCGGCGGTGGCGGCGGCAGCAGCCTGCGCGGTGCCTTCTGGGAACGGAATCCCCAGGGCTGCCCCTGGCCCCCATGGCGCATGCGCGGGAGGCCGCTCGGTGATCCGCGGCGGCGGCGGCGGCGCTTCCTGCTAGGACCGGCCGGGGCCGTACCGGAGGCTCGGGCTCCACCGACCCTCCTCCCACCCCCTCCCACTCACCCTCTGGGCCGCGACTGCGCAGGGCGGGGCCGGCCGAACCATGGGCCGCGGTGAGTGTGGGGCCCGGCCCCCCCACCCTGCCCCTCCCCCTCCCCTCCCCTCCTGTCCCTACCCTCTGCCCCCTCCGCGTCCTCTCGGCCCCTTTCCCTGGCCCCATCCCTACTCCCCCGCCCTCACCTGCCCCCGCCGTTTCTCCCTCTCACTGCCTGACTTCTGCCTTCCTCACCTCTCTCCTCTGAGTGCTTCGCCCACCCTCCGCCCGCCCTCTCCCCAAGTTCCTTCCTACTTCGTGCGCCTTCCCCTCCTCCCCAAGCTGAGGGAAGCAGTCTGGGTGACAGGGCGCCTTGTTATGAGAGGGAAAGTTTGGAAGCCGCCAATGTGGGGTGCGAGCGATGGTGAGGTTGGGGAGGATACTTGGAGGTTTGAGGGGCGTCCCCACATATCAGAAGAGAATCTTTCTTGGAGCTAATTTGAAGCCAGTGGGATAAGAGGTTCTGAATCCCCTTGCCTTAGGCTTGAGGGAAAATCAGGAGCTTCTCGGGACCCTGGGAGAAGACTGAACTGTGATTGTAACCTCTCTTAAGACCCAAATGAACTGGATCAATGATTGTCTGGATGGACCGTCAATGGAACAGGCATGGGGGCAGTTCTGCTGGTACCACCCCAGCAAGCAGTTGGGCAATTGCCTGGTGACCTGTGGGGCAATCTGTACTTTTTATATGATCTTCCTAGGTAGAGAGCAGCAGGGGCCAGACGCTCTGGGAAACTTCCTAGTGGCCTAGCATTATGGGAGTTTGCCCAAACTCCTGGTTGAAGTCTTCTGCCTCTAATAGGACAAAGGGGCCTTGCCCTTAATGTATCTAGTATCTAGAAATTGGGCTGATTCCTTGGTCCCTGGAAGTTGAGGCTCTGACCCTCTGATCCCTAGGGACTGGGTTTGGAAAGGATGCTTGTGGACTCAGCCAGCAGATCTCTGAGCTCTTTATAGGCACTTACCTCACATTATTAAGGATCTTTCCCTTGAGAGTGTCCTGGGCTGTGGTGCTCTTTTGAGTTGAGCAGATTCCTGACAGTCCCATGTCTCTCCTTGTGTTGCAGGTGTGGGCTAAGCTGGTGGCCCCGGCTTTAGACTGGACCCCACAATGTTTGCAGAGATGTTCAGGTAGCTGTGGTGGTGTAGCAGAGGATTCCTTCTGTGCTCTCTCCCAGTTCTCTGAGGGGTTCACATTGGCACTCTGGGGTTTCTCCTGAGTTTTCTTGGGTCATTCCACAACCTTTGCCTTCCCAGAGTACTCCCTCAGGTACCCAGCCCAGTTTAATCCTCCTAGTACCCACATGGATGTCTGTGTTAACAGGCACGCGGGAGCTGATTACACACAATGAATGGGGGCAATGAGAGCAGTGGAGCAGACAGAGCTGGGGGCCCTGTGGCCACATCTGTCCCCATCGGCTGGCAGCGCTGTGTGCGAGAGGGTGCTGTGCTCTATATCAGGTATGAATCTTCAGAGTTCCCCAAGTTCTATCACCCCAGCTGCTCTCAGTTGCCTGGGCTTGCTTTCTCCTGCTCTTCTTCTCAGAGCCCATCTCTGTGGTACCCTATTGCTCTCCTCCATTCCCCTTCCTTTCTCAGCCTTTTTGCTCTCTATATCTCAGGGCCTTTGAATCTGTTCTCCCTCCTTCTTTCTCTTCCTGTATCCCTTACCCTTTGCCCTTCTTAGGAAGATTTTTAACTTTTGAACTTTTAGGAGTATCTCCTGATTCACTGTCAGTTAACTTCATGTCCTCTGACCCTGTCCTTTCCCAGCCCAAGTGGCACAGAGCTGTCTTCCTTGGAGCAAACCCGGAGCTACCTCCTCAGCGATGGGACCTGCAAGTGTGGTCTGGAGTGTCCACTTAATGTCCCCAAGGTTAGAGTGGTGAGGGGTACTGGAGAGTACAGGGATAAGCCAAAAGATTTAATGCAAACCACTGACCATGGTAGTCTTCAGGGATTCTACTTCTTTAGGGTCCCTTACAAGATTCTTCTTTTCAGGTTTTCAACTTTGACCCTCTGGCCCCGGTGACCCCAGGTGGGGCTGGGGTGGGGCCAGCATCAGAGGAGGACATGACCAAGCTGTGCAACCACAGGCGGAAAGCTGTTGCCATGGCAACTCTGTACCGCAGCATGGAGACCACCTGCTCACACTCTTCTCCTGGTGAGTCTTCTGTCATGTTATAGAAGACTGAGGAAAACCTAAGGGCCTAGAAGACTAGTGGGAGGAACTGTATGAGAGGGAGGAAGGAGAAGGGTGGAGTTGGGTGAGGAGCTGCTTGGTGAGAGGAGGGGACAGAGAGGTTGGGAACCTGTGGGAGATGGGACTGGAGAAGACAAAAAAGTTCTGGGAAGGGGACCTCTAGGCTGACCCTTCGTTTTTCATTTGTTGCAGGAGAGGGAGCGAGCCCCCAAATGTTCCACACTGTGTCCCCAGGGCCCCCCTCTGCCCGCGCTCCTTGTCGAGTTCCTTCTACAACTCCACTTAATGGGGGTCCTGGCTCCCTTCCCCCAGAACCATCCTCAGTTCCCCAGGCCTTCCCTCCTCTAGCAGGCCCTGGGGGGCTCTTCCCACCACCAAGGCTTCCTGACCCAGTTTCCTCCGGGGGTAGCAGCAGCCCTTGTTTCCTCCCAAGGGGCAATGCCCCCTCTCCAGCCCCACCTCCTCCACCTGCTATCAGCCTCAATGCCCCCTCATACAACTGGGGAGCTGCCCTCCGATCCAGCCTGGTGCCCTCTGACCTGGGCTCTCCTCCAGCCCCTCATGCCTCCTCTTCACCACCTTCAGATCCTCCTCTCTTCCACTGTAGTGATGCCTTAACACCCCCTCCTCCCCTG